TCCTTCCCCGCGTGGCCGTAGATGGTTGCCCCATCGGATCCCAGCGGGGACGGTGGCGCCCAGGTGCGTGGCCGCCATGCTGCCTGCCTCTGAACTACGCAGCCCCGCCTGTTCGCGCGCGGTGGCCTTGCGGCACGCGCGCTTGACCGCCCCCGCCATTGCGGCCCCGCTCGTGGCGCGGTCGTGCTCACCAGCGCGGTTGGCCTCCAAGCAGCTCGTCCTAAAATCGCGCAGGGGGGCCCACTAGGGGGCCTTCTTGACGGCCGCCCTGTAGAGCCGCGTTTCCCAAGCACCGGGCGCGAGCCTCTGCAGCCCCCCGCGCCGCTCTCCGCTCGCAAACGTCCTGGAAGCTGCTCCAAGTGTTGGGGTTGACAATGATGAAACGCCCGTCTGCGCGCGGCGCCCCAATCCTGACAGGGGCGGTCTCATCGAGCGCGTCGCCGACGGGGATGCAGCGGTGGCCCGCGTCGTCTAGGTATGAGGCGCTCTTGAGCTCGAGGCTGTAGCTCTGCGGCGAAGCCGCTGTGCTGCGTCCGCCCGTTCGTCCGCAAGCCTGCGCAACTCCTCCTCGACACCAGCGGGGCCCGCCTGACTCTGCAGTTCGGCCAACCACTTGGCGCGCCTGACTCTGGCTCGCGTCCGATCCCGGAAGGCTCGCTGGCAATGGCCTCGTGCCATCACCATCCTGGCAGCAAATATATCACCGCGATGATGCGCATCCGCTGCTGCTTCGATCATCCCGCTGAAAAGAGGCTCTGCTGGTCTGCGGGGCGCGTAGGGCGTGCAGTGATCATGCCACTCTCGTCGCCCTTCCCCTTCGTCACGACGCAGAGAGTCAGGTGCCGTGCAAGCGGCTTCTAGACTGCGAAGATGCTGAAACAGTCATCCCTCATAGTGCAAGTCCGCTGGGCTGAAGAGCTCGCGGCCATCCATGGCCCCTCCCACTGGGGGCCCGCCCCGGCAAAACTGCGACAATGCGCCTGGGAGGCCACCCCAAAGGCATGGCGAATCCGGGCAAGGTGTGCGACATGAACGCGGGTGCAACACTGGGATTTGCGCCCTAAGCGCCCGAATGGGCCGAGCATCCGCGGCGCGTCGGGCCTGGCCCAACGATGGCCGCCGCTTGGCCGGCGTTTCTCATTGCGCCAAGATCGCTCGGGACCGCATCTTTGATCGGCATTTGGCGACTTCGAACCAGGGGGGCCATATCCTGGATTGGCGCTCTGTCTCCATGCAGTCCAGCACCGTGCGTTCTTACGCAACACGCTCTAGCGCCAAGCGCGTAGACCCAGTCCAGGGCGCCGTCGGAGTAGGCGTGGAAATGCCCCCCGCAAGTGGCCTCTGGCTCGAGGCCCTTGCCCCTTCACTCCACGTCGCGTCAATCGTCGAGTGGCTGTTTCTTTGTGATCTCCCCCCGGCCATCGCCCCTGTCCTGGCACGCGTTGCTGAGGATGCTGTGCTCCTCGATGTCGCTGTCCTCGGAGTCCAGCAGACTACCACCCTCGCGGGCCTGGTCCCAGTTGGCGCCGACGAGGCTGCCTCGCTGGCGCCCTGGCGGCCCGACAGGTGGCGCTTGCCCTGGGCGCTCTGGGTTGGCGATCCAGTCGCGTAGCCGCTGGAGGTCGGCTCGGTGGAGGTCGAGGGCGGCTCGGAGTTGGGCACCGCTCAGCGATCGCTGTCTACCAGATGAGGTAGCACTCTCGCCGTCGCTCACCTCGATGTCAAGCCATGGCGCGCATCTCCGCTGCCGGCTGGCTCGGCGACTGGCCACGCGCAACTAGAACCCATGCGAAGCGTGGGTGGCTGAGTTCGTTGGCGAGGAAGCTGATGCCCCAGTCTAGGGGCTCGAGCCGATCCACGTCCGTCTGGCTCTCGTTGGGGCCATGCATCCATCGAATGGCCCACCGCGAGACCACATTCTCCAGACCACGTGCAGGACTGGTGCGTACACGTCGCTGGGGAGTGGCAGGCTGGACAGGGCATTCCCCTGGCCTGGCGCTCTGGTCCTCCCTGGGGCTGGTCATGCTGCTCTTCGCCCCCGCGTGGCAGTCGACGCGCGTGTAGCCTTCGCTCTCGGAGCCGTTGCCGCCGCCGTCGTCGCTGCCATCGGGGTCCAGCATGTAGTACTCGCAACTGCTTTTATTGTGTCTTCTCTTCTTTAGGGTTGCCCGCAGTCTCCGTGGACTGACGGGCCCCACAGCACTTCAGATCAACATTCGGATTGCCCAAAATTGCCAATGGCCTGGGTGGACCTGCCACTGCCCACTGATGCCGCAGCCGTCCTCGTCAGAATCTGTGCTCCACGGAGTCGCATCAAACCTGAAAGGTAAGGCTGGTCGCTGTAGATCGTCGTCTTGGCGCCGCTTCGCTTGGCCCCCTGCTGCTGGGATGGCTCGGCGGCCGCCGAGAGGTTTGAGCCCAGGAGTTTGGCCGTGGCGGCCACGACCACTGCTGGGGACGTGCCGCCGTCTGATGCATTGCTGGCCGTCGCTGCAGGGTCGCAGCCCTAGCTCGGCGATGCTGTCGGAGGAGCTCTCGGCTCACTCGACCTTGGCGCTTTGGGGGGCGCAGCCTTGCCAGCCGTGCCAGCCGAGGATCCAGTCATAGGCTTTGTGGCTGGCTTCGTCGCTGCCTCCTTTGGCTTGCCGTTCTCCTTGTCGGCCTCTCCACCGCCTCAGTCGTGGCCAACTGGCTCCTGGGTCCTGCTGCGTTTGCTTTCAGGCGCGCCAGCTGCTTGGCCTGCTCTTCTTTGATGAATGCCGCCTTGGCCTCGACATCGCTGAAGCAAGCCTTGGCGGCCTCCGCGAACTGTCGCTGCAACTCTTCTTTGCGCCTCTGAGCCTCGGCCTCTTCTTCGCTTGAGGCCACATTGTCGAGCTCCTCGAGGCCGAACGGCCCGCCATCATCAAGGAGCAGCTCTTGGCCCTCCAGAGGGCGGCGGGGTCGATGACAGGCTGGGCGGGTGGGCGCTCCTGCTCAGATTCTTGTGCTGCCACCGAAGTCGCCAGGCGCTTGGCTGCAGTCTGCTACAGTGCACGGGCGGCGTCCACCTCGCTGGAGGCTGCTTTAACTTCATCCTGGAGGTCGTTGTATTGTGTCTCAGCTTTCTCGAACCTCTCGGGGACCCGGTTGAGCGCCGCCTCTGCCTGCTTGACGCGCTGCGTGGCCTAGCCGATGGTGATGCTGGCTTCGACCTGGGCGTGGCGGTACTCATCGAGCTGCTGCAAGTACTTGGCGGCGCCTTCAACGTCTCCTGACTTGGACAAGAACATCCTGAGCGCCACCAGCCGCTTCTCCTCGGTGGCCTCATCCTCATCAGCATATGCCGGCTGTTGTCCCGGGGCAGAGCCGCCCGAGAAGGTGACGCTGGTGGTCCTCCGCCTGGCCGTGCCTGCCTTGTGCCATGGCCGCCATGCCTTGGCGTTGGGTGGCAGGAAAGCGAGCACTCACGGGCTCACAGCTGCCATCACGGCGCGGCGGCCTCTTGGGCGGAGCCGATGGCTGCAGCGGCGGCCGGCAGTTTGTGCACCATCTCCATCACGAGAGATTTTTCCCACAGCCGCAATGAACACAGCGCGATCAGGACTCATCATCGACACCCATCTAGGTTCGACTGAAACACCACTAATACCGAAACGGACCCACGGCCGCACGAGAGCTCACCATGGGGGTCGTGCGGGAAGGCCTGCTGCTGTGAGCGAGCTCGCCTCGAGCCAGCCCCTCGGCTGCAGGCAAGCACGAAACCGAAGGGCACGGTTTCGTAATTGAGCCAAATTGGCTTGAGCTAAAATGGCTACGGACCTCCTCCTCGTCCTCCTCCTCCTCCTCCTGTTGCTCCTCCTGTTGCTCCTCCTCGATGTCTCGGTGCTGGCAGCTTCGGTGTATGTCTCCAGCACAGCCATGCCCCGCCCCCGGGTTGCCTTCGCAACCTGGGAGGGCGAACGTACAAGCAGGTACAAGCTCGGAAAGCATGAAGGTGACGTACTGGAGAAGGAGAAGGATGACCAGAAGAACAAGAAACTGCATATACGTAACATTCGGAGCTCCGCGCGGAGTTCTTGGATCGGCACTGGAACCGCCCTACCTGGCGCGCGGAGCGCGCCGGGGGCGGCGCCGGAGGCGCCGCCAGGGGGGCCCAGCGCAGATCCGAAAAACCCGCGCGGAGCGCCACCAGTTATCTTTACGCAATTGTTTCTCTCCGAACGACGATGTCATCATCCTCGTCAAGGGGGGGGAAGGGGGCGGGAGGCATCTCGGGCCTCCTCCGCCCGCGGATGCGCTCGTCCGAGCCCTGGCGTTCGACCCCAGTGAGGCGACGGCGCTCTCGTGACAAAGGCGCTCCTCCACATGCTGATCCTCCTCCTCCTCCACCTCCTCCTCCACATGCTGGTCCTCCTCACCTCCTCTTCCTCCTCCTCCTCTTCCCCATCCTCCTCCACCTCCTCCTCCTCCTCCTCCTCCTCCTCCTCCTCCTCCTCCTCCTCCCCCTCCACACCCCCTCAGCCACCTCTTCCTGCTCTTCTGACACCCGACACCGGGGCGCCGCGGGGGAGAAGCAAGACTCGATGCTTCGCCCCAACACCTAAAATGCCCGTCCATCTCGAATAGCCTACTACAAACAAGGGCGAACGTATTCGTCCATGCCTCTTTGTTTCAGGGCGTTGTGCCCGATTGTCTTCACGACGTCGGATGTCGGGTTTCATCCAATGGCTTGGGGGGCGAGGTGGACATGCGAACACACATCGCTTCACAATTCGCTCAATTGTGTGCATCTGAATGTGAACCTGGAGCTGTTACTGTTGCCCCTCCTGCTGTTGCTGCGTCTGCTGTTCTTGCATCGGCTGCTGCTTGCGCTCACCTGTGATGATTCCCCCTGCTTCTGCTGCAGCTGATGCATGCTGTCCAATGATCTGTCGCCCCTATTTTGTTCTGCCTCTGAGACCTGCGCTTCGTTGATGGCTCGTCAACGGGGTGCCTCAGGCCTGCGCTAGATGTGTCCATCAGGCCGTGACTCCGGCGATCTTCAGCCAATTGTACAGGTAACTCTTCTTATCAGCGAAGACGGCTTCCCGTGTCTTGAACACGAGGTCGTCCCCGTGACCGAACAGCTTCACGAAGGACAGCAATGCCGCCTCGCCGTCTTTGGGCTTCTTGCGAAAGCGTGCCATGAACACGTCCTCCCAGCACTGCCTCGAGCAGTTGCATGTCTCGCTCGACCTGTCGGCGAGGGCACTTTGGACGCCTGGACTGGGTACGGAACAACAGTGGGCACGATGCCCCACAACACGTGTAGCCCAGAACCGACAGCGGCCGCTGTTGGGCAGGCGGCTTTTTCTGTCTCGGATGACCCACGCCGGCGGCGGCATGGACAGCGAACCCGGTTCAGAACGAGCAGGACATGCTGTCGGTCTTCGTGCCCACTCTGCCCGTACCCTGTCGAGGAGGAGGAGCAGGAGGAGGGAGGAGGAGGAGGAGGAGGAGGAGAAGGAGGAGGAGGAGGAGCAGGAGGAGGGAGGAGGAGGAGGAGGAGGAGGAGAGGAGGGAGGAGGAGGAGGAGAGGATGAGGAGGAGGAGGAGAGATAAGGAGGAGGAGGAGGAGGAGATGAGGAGGAGAGGAGGAGGAGGAGGAGGAAGGAGGAGAGGGGAGGAGGATGAGAAGGGGAGGGAAGGAGGAGGGAGGAGAGAGAGGAGGAGGAGGAGGAGGAGAAGGAGGAGGAGGAGGATGAGGAGGAGGAGGAGGAGGGCAGACCTGGGCCCCTCCGGGCCAGGCAGGGGCGGGCGGCCACCCCGAGAGCAAAAAGGGCGCGCCCAGGGATGCCCCCTTGGGCCGCGGCGTCGCAGAGGGGGGCAGACGGCCCGCCCACGCCCCGTCCCCCCGCTGCCCGCTGCCCGCTCCGCACTCGCGCATCGGGCGCAAGGGGGCTCCCAACTCCGAGCGAGAGAGGGAGGTGAAGGAGGAGGAGGAGGAGGAGGAGGAGGAGGAGGAGGAGAGTAAGGAGGAGAGTAAGGAGGAGAGGAGGGGGAGGAGGAGGAGGAGGAGGAGGAGGAGGAGCAGGAGGAGGAGGAGGAGGAGGAGGAAGAGGCGGAGGAGCAGGAGGAGTGAACGTCCCCTGAAGAGTCCAGTTCGCCTAACTCTCGCGAAGCCTCTGAATGGCTAAGGCACGAAAACGAGCAGCGTCCGAGACAGAATAGTAATCGTGAGGGGGAGCGCCGATCTCTCCCTTCATGGCGTGATATATGTAAAAGGCAAGGGTGAGAGAGCGAACGACAAGCGCGAGCGAAAACCGACCCACATGCGCCGCTTCACCCCCCAGGCCCAACCGAACTAACACATCAGAACTTAACGGTCGCTGTGGGTCGGCCACGAGCTCGAGGAATCTGTCACAAACAAGATAATGCTGCACGCAGTCGAGACACTGCGAGCATCCGAGCAAGCACGATTTGGAACCTGGGATGACATGCATTATGTTGCTTGTCGTCCACGCTCCACAAAGTGTCTTTATCACACACCATCTGACTGCAGGTTTGCATTTGGCAAGATAGGATCTGAGGAAGAGCCAGCGAGATTGCAGATCAGGAGGGAGAACCAACTCAGGGTACCACTTCCGCAGACGACGGCGGATGGTGTCAACAAAGGTATCAGGAAACAGTTGGCGAGAAAGAGCGTCATGCATGGCACGTTGCACCCTAGGTCTGCGGGATTCACATTCGGCAACGGCTCTGACGGCCTCAGCACGTCCAGCTCTCACCGCGGTGCGAAGAGTGTCCGATGAAACACTACAAGTGCGATAAAGCTGCACCGGTTTGCACATGCACGCATTCTCAAATCTTTGGACGATTGACGTCTGCTCTTGCCACCAAGCTGGGGACCAGCAGCCTTCAGAAAAACGAGGCAGGGGTGCGGCGCCTTCTGCGGCTTGCTGTAGCCGAGTGAGCGAAGATCTCCATCCCGCGAGAGTGGTCGTGCACGTGCGCCATAATGATGAGAGGCAGAGAGCTAGGATGGACGTGGGACCCCCTCCTCTGCACCAATGCTTCAAAGAGAGCAAATCACATTTCCTAAGAGCATTCGGAGGGAGACGATAGAGCTTGTGCAAGCCGTGGATTTCTCGCTGCAAGAGCCGTGGGATAGGCAAAAAAAGCTGGGCAACGTAACTGAGAGTGGGGAGAATGGCAGAGGCGTACAACAGAGTGAGGGCGGACGGGGGAGCACGGGTAATGCTGGCCAAGTGGATCCGCTTCCACCATTTTTCTGCTGGCGCGCGCCACTGCGTCTCTGCTGTCGCGCCTGGTCCAAGCCAAACACCCAAATACTTGACGACGTCCGACACCTGGAAACAACGCCAACCCTCACACACCGACCCGAGATCCTGAGTCGTTTGGCTTCGGACTTCAGCGGACAAAGGGGCCCAAAATGGGACCGCGACACATTTCGATGCTTGCAAAGCTAGGCCGGCCAGGCGTTCGGCGAAACAGAACGTCTCAGCTATCATGTGCAGCTGTGTCACACAGAGAAGAATGAGCCCTATATCGTCGGCACAGGCTCGGACCACTCCGTGGTCGAGTGACGGGAAAGGTCTGTGGAGATGTCGCAACAGAGGGTCCATGCAAAGGGCCCACAGGCTGCCAGACAGAGGGCAGCCCTGCAAAACGCCACTGGCCAACTCGCACATCGGAGTGAGAGGCATGTCCTCCTCCTGCTCCTGTATCAGGAGCAGGAGGAGGAGGAGGAGGAGGAATAATAAGAAGAAGAAGAAGAATAAGAATAATAAGACTAGTAATACTAATAATAATAATAATAAGAAGAAGAATAATAATACTGATAATAATAGTAATCATAAGAATAATAATAATACTAATAATACTAATACTAACAATAATAATAATCAGAATAATAATAATAATAACAACAATACTAATAATAATGATACAAACAAATAATAATAATAATACTAATAATAATGATACTAATCACAATACTAATACGAATAATACTAGTAATAATAATAAGAGAAGAAGAATATTAATAATAATAATAAGAAGAAGAAAAAGGGGAGGCGGTCGGTAGCGGAGGGGGCGAGGAGGAAGAGGAGGAGGAGGAGGAGGAGGAGGAGGAGGCGGAGGAGGAGGAGGAGGGGGGGGTGGAGGAGGAGGGGAAGGAGGAGGAGGAGGCGCAGGAGGAGAAGGAGGAGGCGCTGCCCCGCCCCGCCTCGCCCCGCCCCCCCCCAACGTGTGAACGAGGGAAGGGCGAGGGTCTTACGCGAAATGGTATAGTGACTTTGCGCCGCGGCTTGCACGGGCCACCGCCGCGGCACGCCACAATGGCGACGAGAGCGCTTACGCGCGACCCTGCGCGGGCAGCTTACGCGCCGATGCCGGTGAGGACGACCCCGCTTTCTTGGGTCGTTCCTGTCGGCATTTCGTGGATGGGGCTCTGCCGAGTGGGGCCCCGAGGACAGGCGACCTCGAGCAGTGGAGGCCTTCAGCCCGTAGTCCACTTCCTCGGGGCCCCGTCCCTCGAGGCCCCACCTGGCGGCCGCCGCATCTGCTCCCTCGCCCGCTCGTGCCCCCGGCCGGCGCCTGGCGCCCCGGGGGGAAGCGTCGGGGCCCGGCGGGCCGTCGGGGAGCGGGAGTGCGACAGGCGGCTCTGAGCAAACAGAGGGCCTGGTCCTGCACGCATCCGCACACACACACATACACGCACACACACACACACACGCAATCACACACACACACGCGCACACACGCGCAATCGCACACGCACACACACAAACACACACACACACGCGCGCGCACACACCCTCGCGCACACAAACACACACGCACACACACACACACACGCACACACATGCGCACACACACGCGCGCACACACACGCGCGCACACACACACGCACACACGCACACACACACACACACACACACGCGCACACACACACACACACACACACACACACACACACATACACGCACACACACACACACACACACGCACGCACGCACGCACGCACGCACGCAAGCATGAAAGCACGCAAGCACGCGGGCACGCACGCACACACACACCTACCCACACGCACACGCACACACACGCACACACACACACACGCACACACGCACACCAACCACGCGCACGCACACACGCACACACAGGCACACACACATTCACGCGCACACGCGCAGCACACACACGCACATACATGCACACATGCACACACACGCACGCGCACGCGCGCACACGCACGCACACGCACACGCACACGCACACGCACACGCACGTGCACACGCACAAGTACACGCACACGCACACGCACACGCGCACGCGCACGCACGCGCACATGCACAAGCACACGCACACGCATGCGCAAACGAACACGCACACGCACGCGCACACGCGCACGCACGCGCACACGCACATGCACACGTACACGCACACGCACACGCACGCGCACACGCACACGCACACGTATACACACGTACACACGTACACGCAAACGCACGCGCACGCGCAAACGCACGCGCACACGCAAACCCACACGAACACGCACGCGCACACGCGCGCGCACAGGCACACGAACACACACGAGCACGCACGTGCACACGCACCCGAACCCGCGCGCGCACACGCACGCGCATACGCGCACGCACACACACACAGACGCACGCGCACACGCACGCGCACACGCCCACGCCCACGCACATGCACACGCACACGCACACGCGCGCGCACGCGCACGCGCGCGCGCACACGCACACGCACGCGCACACGCACGCGCAAACGTACACGCACACGCACGCGCACGCGCACGCGCACGCGCACAGACGAGCGCGCGCACGCGCGCGCGAACAAGCATGCGAACGCGCACACGCGCGCGCGCACGCACGGGCACGCGCGCGCGCAGTCGCACGCGCACGCGCACGCGCACACGCTCGCGCACACGATTGCGCGCGCACGCTCGCCCACGCGCGCGCGTGCCCGCGCGCACTTAGGCAAACGCAAACTCAACCGCAAACGCACGCGCAACCACAAACACAAACAAACACACAAACACACAAACACACAAAGGAACAGAGACACACAGACACGCAGACACAAAAAGACACAGACACGAAGACGCGCGCAAAACACGGACTCACAGAGACACAGAGACACACAAAGACATTCAGACGCACACAGAGACACACAGACACATAGAGACACGCAGAGACACGCATAGGCAC